GAAGATTCACCAATTCCCAAGTATGATTTTGCATAATGGATTCAATGTCATTATTAACAGTCTCTTTCCACAAAGGTGCTTCAGGATCTATCATTGCTGCCTTAAAGCTTTGAGATTCATTTTCTAACAGGTATGTCAGAAAATCTGGACAATAGGATTTTGATGTTCTCACTTTCTTACTTCTTCTTGGTTCATCATCAGTTAAATCTTGTTGGTCGAAACCATTACTAGTCTCTTGTATTTGATTGTCATTAATCTCTTGACTTTGTGTACAATCATAAGTTCTTTTCTGTGACCTTAATTCCTGTCCTTTCTTGTAAGGAAAGACATGTTCAAAAAAAAAAATATAGCATTCCTTGACTCTATAATAGTGTTCACATTTATATCAGGTATTTCTGATTTATAAGTCAGAAACCGATATGCACTACTATTCATAACCAATAAACACACAATCTACTGTTTTTGGTCCAATCTTAGTCTTTTTAGGAACAGAAACTTCAACTTTTGCCAAACACCCCTCACACTTTTAAGTATTTGTAGAAAGGCGGTCGACCTTTCCACAATTCATAAGGAGTGCTGTTGGTTTTCTTGTAGGGTATTCTGTTAAGAACATAATTGGCAGACAATATTGCTTCCTCCTACAAGTTCTGTGGTAAGCTTGAACTTAGTAACATGGCATTCATCATTTCTTTTAAGGTTCTATTCTTCCTTTCAGCAATTCTATTTTGTTGAGGAGAATAGGGTGCTGTAGTTTAGTGAATAATGCCATGTTGTGTACAAAATTCATTTAATGGCGCATCATATTCATCACCCCTATCATTTCTAATATAAATCAACATATAACATTCATCACTTGTTGTCTATGATGTATTAGATTCATAAATTTCAAATCATGATTCATAAATCTCAAATGAAAAAATCAAAATAATTATGACTACACAAATCAGAATTAATGTTTTGACAAAATCATATTCTCATAAAAATTTTGCCAAAGAAACGAACAAATCAAAAATCTTATTTGATTGTATAACTTTTTGCAACTCATTTACGAATAAGTGTTACTGACATAAAAATATTTGTGACAGAAGAAAATTAAATTATCTCATCTAATGCAAGAGATACACACCCATATTAATAAAATGGTTTAAGGTTTAACAAATTCTATTACGCAAGTAAAATAATAGTTAATGACATCTTATGTCACAAATTTAAAACAAACTAATAATAAAAAATTTCTTAAATTTACTTCCAATTAAATGGAACGATATAACTACATACATCTTCATGTTTAAAATCCTCTGGTATTTAAACACCCATTCAAAATTGATTAGAAATATTCAAATTAATCTGCTTATGTCCAAAGTCAACATAACAATTTAACATTCCAACTCATATTACATTATTTTTTAAAGAAATAACTTGAGTTGATATCAATACATGCATGTCAAACGCATCAACTAAAAATAATGAATTAGCAAAATAAATTAATCATGCATGATCCCTTAACTTTCATCATGAGATAACAAACTCATAAATAAAATTGAACGCGTTTTAAATTTTAAACTTTAAAACAAATCTTCATTTAATCAGTTTGATATATATATAAATAAACTAATTATATACACATTAAAATGTTCTTGTGAATATATATATATATATATAAATATTTTCTGACTCATGTGCAGAAACTATTCACAGAATTTAAAGAATAAATCAGTAAACCAATAAAGGAAAAACTTGCCATAAAAGTTTTTTCATAATAAAAATGAAATTAGTTTGTAAAACTAATATTTAACTTCAGAATCAAATACTTCCAAGTACTGACACCTTTTCACAAAGGGTTTAAGTGACCTTCTAAACGAAACCGTAAGTTGCATACAAAATGTACAGATTGTAACCGAAACACAAAGTTACATGATTGATTAACAAAATTAATTTTCTAGTTACTAAAACCAGAAAATAAATTATACCACAAAATAATTTTATTTTTCTTGTTACTAAAACTAGAAAATAATATAATTTTATTTTTCTTATTACTAAAACTATAAAATAAAATACCACAATAATATCTGATTACAAAAATTAGAAAAACACACCACAAATTAATTTTTTAGTTACCAAAACCAGAAAATAAATTAAAACACAAAATAATTTTATTTTCCTTGTTACTAAAACTAGAAAAATAAAATACCACAATAATTTTCTGTAATACAAATTAATATTCTGTAATTGTTAATGATACCAGTATATTACTACTTGTTATCAAGGAAAAGAGATAATATATTACTACTATATGTCAAATAAGCATAAATCACTATTTGTTCGGCCCTGTTTTGTATCTTTCTCTGACTTTACACATTAAATGAGGGAGTTGCGTGGATGGGTGTATGCAAATTGGGTAGGATTAAAAAAAATTAATTTTACAAAACAAATCTAATTTTTTATTGAATAAATTATATTTTACAAGAAAATTCTGATTTTTTTAATTGAAAAATGAGAAAGAGTGAGGGTTTTGTTTTTTGAAAAGTTAAAAACTTTCATTTCAAATTTTAATATTCTATTTATTTTTTGTAAAGTGGAATATTCTATTTATTGAACATATAAATAATAGGTACATATGTATCAATATTTGAGAAGAATTCTTAATTCTATGCCATCAAGAAGTTCAGTACACGGTCCAGACTCATGGGTCCATCTAAAAAACTCATATTAAAGCCCAAACATACTAATGGATATTATTCTCTCTCTCTCTCTCATATTTTATTTTCTTCTTTTTTTTTTTCAATTATTAGTAAGAAAACAATATTAGACTAAAAAAAAAAGTGAGTAGTATACCAACTATAAAATTAATAATTATAGTTACAATATTAAAAATGCATACAAATAATGGATGTGTCAATGTAAATTGTATTTCAATAGACAAAGTTTATTGTTTTTCAAGATTTTTTAATTGTTGCGATGCATTTCAAAAGTTGTATTATATTTTTTCCAAATAAATTTTTAATTTGATAGAAAACAATTTGAATAAAAGCCCAAATTATGAACAAATTGTGCCATATGGACCGAACCGGCCCAAAGTCAGTAAGCCCACATTTGAAGCCCATTGATAGGGTTGGGCTTCCCGTTGACTGCCACTGTTGAGCTTTAGTCCACACCGCAAGCATAATGTTACGATATTGAAACTTTCATTTATTATGAACAATTTTGAAGAAAAAAAATATTTGTTCAATTCCCCATTTTCATGGAAATTAATATTTTTTTCTAGTCATTGTTGAAATTTTTACTACAAATTTGATATGGAATGTAAATGATTGGGCCAAAACCACCTACAAAACAAAAGTAAATAAACAAAACAACACCGCATGCGCGTGTTATAAAATTTTAAGAAATCTAATCTTAATTATTCAGTTTTAATAAAAAAACTAAAATATCGAAGAGAAGTCAAGGGAAATGTATGGTTTCATTTGGCATCATAGTTTGGGGGTCAGAACAGACACAAAATGACAAAATAGATTAAAAAGTCAATAAAATAAAATATTATATTTAAATAATGATTAAAAAGTCAATAAAATAAAATATTATATTTAAATAATAATCATTTTAATTTTTCTTTTATAAAAGTTCAGAAAGTCAAAAAGTCCATTTCAAACAGGTCGGTCTCAAACGATGATTGGACTATAATTGGTCCTTTGGGTTTGAAGCCCAATCCATTGGCCCATCCAATCAACCCATTTGACATTATGAAGAAAATAGGGGTACAATACAACAAAAATAAAACACGAAAAAATAGGCCTTAATAAATTTTAGTCCGTTGGGTGAAGCTCTCAAGCTTGGGACGTTGTTTCGATTTCCCAACTTGTTGGTTCTAAGCTCGTTGGGCAACGGCAAACCTGAGGTTTGAGACCACGAATTGGCCCAACCCAAACTATGAGAAAAAACACACTTGTAAATAAAAATTTAGTTCATTTGATAGCACCATGAATAAGTTATTTATTTACTTATTTAAATTATATATATTTTTTTATAAATAAAGTTATACGTATCAATTAGTACACTACTTAGTATATTAACGGATGATGTATCATAATTTTAGAGGTTTTTAGTCTTGTAATTTGTATAATAAATAAAGTTTATAGTTTTGAAGTAGCAATGTCATAGCGTATTAGTATAGCAATTGGTAAATATAACACCACTCTTTTTATTTTTTTACAGGCCTTTTTGTAATAAACAAAAAAATCAACTTATAAATCATATTCAAAATAACTTTATAAATTTATTTTAATTTGAGAGTTTTTATCAAACTATTTAGTGTAATTTCTGCTTATAGTTATTAAGTAGAAATAACTTAAATAATATTTAAAAAAAAAAACTAAATGGTTATTCCACTTTTCAAAAAATTGATTTATTTTTATATATTTATTGTTATTAAAATTTTAAATTATTTTATCCCAAAGATTTTATTTTTTAAATACATATAAATTAAGATATTGTTTGACAATATTACTTTTTACTTTAAAAGTCAAAAAATAACTAAAAAAAATCAAAAGCCAACAACTTATACTAATAAGGCAATGATTCAATTTTCTTTCTATTTTTGTACATCTTTTCATAAAAAATTAAAAAATAGCATAAAAATACTAATTTTTTTATATCATATTTTAATTAAAAAATTAAAAAATTACTTAAAAAAACCTGTTTCCAAACGAGACTAATGCCTCGTTTGGAAACAAATAATTTTAATAATTTTTTGATTTTTTAACTAAAATATAAGATAAAAAACTAAAATATTTGAGATAACTTTTTAATTTTTTATAAAAAAATGTACAAAAAATAAAAAGAAAAAAAAATTAATTTTTTAATATGAATTATTAGATTTTTTAATTTTTTTTTATAATTTTTTAATTTTTAAATTAAAAAGTAATATTACTAAACGAGGGGTAACTATGTTTTGAAAAGGTGAATAAATTCTCAACCAACACCATTTATTTGATACAGGGGGGGTGCGCAATACACACGCACACGACACGAGCCCTCTTCCACAGTCTACATAGAGACAGTGCGGTACAGCAGTACATACATATAATCAGTGCTTCACACATTCTGCCGATCGCCATTGAAGCGTTCGCTTCAAACCTCCGATCACTCTCTCTCTCTCTCTATCTCTCTCTCTTCCATTCATCCAACAATGGCTACTCACGATCGCATCAACACTGTTGCCCCAGACGAAGAAGCAATCGAGCTCGAAGCCATGCGCAAAGACGACTCCTCTTGGCACCCTTGCCAGGTCTCTCTGAGGTTCAATCTCTTTGTCCTCTTTTCGAACTTCACTGGTTTGTTTCTTTCCTGAGAAAATCTGCGAGAAAATGTGCTCTTCTCAAATAGCTGCAGTACCGAGTTTGCATATATTCAGCTTTGCCAATTTTCTATTACTTGAATTGAATTGAATGAAATCATGTTTGGATGTACTTTGCTGGATAGGATCTTCTCAATTGCTTACATTTTGTATTTGAATTTAATAATCTAACTTTTTTTTTTTAAATTTGTATTTTAGTTGATTACGGGTTGACTAGGTAAGAAATTGAAGGGAACTCTTGCAATGCATGTTTAAAGATGCCTGGAACTGTAGGAAAAATTGAAACACATGTATTGCATTTCTTAATAAATAATTGGCTTTTAATCAAATATGGGTCAAAATTGTTCTGAAAGTAGTTTATGATCTAAACAAACAAGTGAGGTATTGATAGGAAAGAGGGAAAAAAGGATTGGAAAATGGCTTAACATAATGAATTAATACTTTTGAAAGAAAAATCATGATGAAGAGCTTATTTCTCATAATTAGAATTCAATGTTTGTTGCAGCTGTGAGAATATATTGTGTATTTAGAGGTATGGTTGTGTTAGAGTCCTATTAGAGGCATAATTGTATTCTCCCTTTTGGTTTAGGATTTAGGGTTATATAATCTAAGATCTGATTGTAATCATTCACACATTGAATATACAAGATACAGAAAAGCTTTCAAGAATCTTACATGGTATCAAAGCCACTCTGAACTGAAACCCTAGAACCTGTCCATTGTCTCTCGGAAATCAACCCTCTGGTTTTATCTCTCTGCGTCGCAGGTCGTGACTCCCTCTTCTTCTTTTGTGTTCGTCTAGTTTGAGCAAAGGTCCTGAGTTGTCCTTTGTCTGGTCATCTGGTTTGTTTCTCAGGTTCTCTGCCTCACGGGTCATTCGCGAAAACCCTAGCCTTTGGTTCGTGATCTTTCTGGTTTGTGATCTGTCACTGGACTTGTGAAGTTGAGTTGTCGTCATCGCTGGTTCTCTCCTGCTTTGATTCACACGATCGAAAAGCTGTCTACCCTTGTTCCTCTCGATTTGCTTCAACTTCGGCCCTTTGCTCTGTGCTAGCTGTTCCAGAGTCGACTTTGACTCTTGTCTCTCTCTCTATGTGGTTCGAAGTTGACCCACCTGGTTATGAAATTACCTAGTTCTCTTTTATTCTTATTTGGACCAAACAAATTCCTTGTTATTATAGTTTGACCCCTCATATTTTGATTATTACACTTGAACCCCTGGTTTGGCTACTTTGTTTTATTGCACTTTAACCCATCAATTTTCTAGTTATTACGATGTCTCTGGCTTTTGATGAGTGTGCTTTTTGTCATCAGAAGGGCTATTGGAAGTATCACTGTCCCAAGAAGGGACGTCAGCCTGCCTCATTTTTTCAGCAATCTCAGAACCACTTCCGGGTTCCTCCCACTGCGTATGTTGCATCTGCTCCGACTCCTGATCTTGACTTGGCTTCCTTGACTGCTCAGATTAGTCAACTTCAGCATATATTGTCTACCTCTCAGCCATCTCCATCTGCTTCCGTTGTTTCATCTCTTCATTCAGGTTTGCTTGGGTCTTCTTCATGTATCCTTTCGTCTGTCTGACTTTTTGACTCTGGTGTCTCTCATCATATGACTTCCCATCTCTCCTTACTTCACAATTGTACTCCTCCTCCCTTTCCTATTACTGTCAATGCGGTTAATTGTAGACGTCCCCGAACGCCCCGGGAGGGATCGCTCCCGTTCTGTTCATTTGGGGTTATTACAGCTCAGGACTCTCAAATTGTCACGGTTCTAAGTCTGAACCAAAGAGTCCAAATCCTGCAAATCGTTTTGAGAAAAACAGATTTTTGAAAGAAGTGCCAAACATGGACTGCTTTGCCAGATACAGAGTCGCCACCTAAATATTTTATTTTGGGAAAATTTAGGAAACCCTGACTCGTTTGCCTAAGGCCACGTGTCCGTCATCACCAAAGTTGCCTCGGCTCGGGAACTTGGGTACGATTGGGGAAGGTCACTTCGTGAGCACCCCCGCTCGCCCGATCAAAGATCGGCCTCTACTAACCATGATATATATTTTTGAAAACTTTGTGTGTCCTTATTCCGGTTATTAGCCTAGGTTACTATGTGATGCACACAACATATAAGTATAGACTGAATTCCCTGAATTGGAACAAAACATCTCATGCTTGTTTACATCCTAATTGTTTTGAGACAATTGGATGGTTAATTTTATATCAGAAATTATCTTTTTGTTTATATATTGAAATTGATTTTGCCTATTTGATTCTTGCATAAAAAATTTGTGAGATTTCAGTTTGTGAAATCTAGTTAGAGTTCAATACTAGTACCATATGATTCAATCTTCTCAAATCCATTTCAAACTCAATTGGGAAAAAAAAAAAAAAAAACCTCCACTGCTAAAGATGCAAAACATTTCACCTACAGCCACTACAAGAAAAGTAACTTATGGTGACGAAAAATTGTGAAGAAAATAAATTTCGTCACTAAATAAGAATAATTCGTGACGAATTATAAAATTTTGTCACATATAATAAAAAAATAAAAATAATAGGTGACG